TTCCGTCATCTTAATTGTATGAATATATACATACATATATATATATACGCGCGCGCGTGTGTGTGTGTGTGTCGTGTCATTTTCTAATATGAAAGGTCACAGCAAAGCACACGCGCTAGCAATGCCTACGTTGCTGCTATTGTAATTGTCGTGAGGTAGCTAGAATTTATTAGACTGCGTAGTTAAATTCTGTATTATTGTACGCATAAATATAGAAAATTATGAAGAAGGGGACATAGAGATGCTACTTTGGTTGAATATGTCTATTGTTTAAATCTATCTCTCGTTACGTAAAGTAATTAAAACTGTATTGTGTGTTAAAAAGTATTAATTATCATTCTTCAATATCGTAATTAACCATCTTTTCACACAAAACAATGTTTTATAAATTAAATTAATCAATTATTACATTGATAAAATTATGCTTCATAATACATTAATCTAAATAAATTTCTTCACTATTCTATTCGATAAAAGTATATCGATTTAGTGATTTAAATTAAGCGTATTTTACAACTCCATTAAATTTATTTAAGATTATTCATCAATTTGAATTAAAATTTAGATTTTTATAATAATACTTTTTATCCTAAAGTATAAAATATTTAATATAAATTTTTCTTATATATATATTTTCATAATAAGTATGCTTATATTTAATATTCTATTTTAAAAGTTTTTATATGGAATAGAGATTTTAGGAATTATTTTATATTATAAAAATGTCAACTTCTGATATTGAAATTTAATTAAAATAATTGCTTAATCCCTCGATAACCCCCGCGATTCAAGTATATGTTCCAATGTCATGAAAATATTATTGCTAATAATCTATTATGAAGAATCTATTATATTGCTAATAAGAAATATTGATAATATTGAATGGTTTTTACGTAAGCAAACGTAGCAATTCACTATGGTTAGCTACAATACTTAATTTTAAAGTCTATTAATAAATTATGTAAAGATTTTCGAATGATGTCTAAACGTAGATTTTAAAACAGATAATAAATAATTGTCTCATTATAATTCTGGGTATTGCAATGTTTTGTCAATATCTAAATAATAGCAGCAAATATAATAAAACAATAAGTAAACATAAATAAATACATTATACATAAATAAACGTAAAGAATACATTTGATCATTAAAATCAACTATTTTAATTTATTTGACATAATGCCATTTTATTTGCATATATGTCAATTTATACAAATCATTTTTATACACAATATGAGTAATAATTATTCAAGATTAAATAAGTAAAATTCACTGTTTTTGTAATGTTAATTGCGTTTAGTAAAAATCAAGTAAAACGTCGAAAAGATCGTTTCTCATTAAAATAAATTACTAATAATAATTTCGTTATTCACGTTATAACAATATTATAGAACCGATAATATGCGTCATCTAGTTGACTTAAAAAAATATTTGCCGAAGATTTGTAGTCAAAATAATAATTGATGGTTGAACTAATATGATCTTTGGCACACAGCTAAGTTTATTTATCGATAAAAACTAATTTTTGCCCATTCATTATTAACAATCGTAGCTTAAAATATTTATTAAGAAATTGGCACTACAAACGCTTGATAAAAGAAAAAAGTACGATTTTGATTATAATAATAGTACAACGAACTCAATTTCGCATCACAACCTTATACGTCGTGAATAATAATTAATTCAATTTCAGGAAAAATGAAATAGTCTAATTGTTATTATCAAGGGATATACTTTAAGTAAGGCCACGAGTTTGTCGTGATTGTGCGGTTGAGCGTATTTTGCGAAAATTTCCACGTTTCATAATTGTACTGATTCCTTATAAGCCGTGGAATAATTGCGTACTGGTTTAGCGCTCATTCCGGAACAAAGAGAAGCAGCATCGGATTACTTCTCCAAAACAACAACACACTCACTCGGTACTCGCTTCTACGGTATTCTCCATTCAAAATCTCAATAAAGAAAAAACGAATTTCAGAAAAGAACCTATAAATCGCCGCGGCATTTCCATCCCGTGTAAGCTCTTGGCGAAATGTCTTGGGAGCTAAAAGCCGCCTAAGAAAGAATTATTCATGGTTCCTTACAAACTCGGTCGTGCCCTCAACGTTGCTCTCCTCCTCCTACCCCCCCCCCCCCCCGTACCCCCCCCATCCCCCCCCCCCCCTATCCAATCCACGCGTCCTTTACGTTCTCTGGACTTTTTGCGGCCTTCGCTCGGCTCCTTTCTTTGTCTTCGTCGTTTTGTCCCAGCGCTCGAGAACGCCAAGAGACTTCCGAATGTCGGCGTCGCCATGAATCCGGAATCCTTTCATTTCCTTTCGTTTTTCGTCCCCGGTATATCCTCCTTCCACTACCCATCCCGCCCTGCTTCACCCCTCCTCCCCACACCGTTGGCCAGGTTCCCCTTCATCGCCACATTGCTCGCGGTCGTCTCGACGTGCAAATTATGGTGGCATCTGGAGGACGCCGATACATCGTTAGGGTCCTCGTGCATTTCCGTAAACTGCAAGCGCGACGATCGTAATTAAAAAGGCAAAGGAGATAGAGAAAGCGAGCGATACGGCAGGAGGGGGAGAGGGA